AAAGAATTCTAGATTTTATTTCAAAATAATGCGGATTCGAACTGAAACATTTGTGACATTTATTTTTATAGAGAGAGATGCAGTAGTTTTTTAGTCCCAATTGGGAAAATAGAAAAGAAAAACCGATGTGTTTTGAGCAAAAACACTTGTAAATTGTATATAGACTAATGCAGAGGACACAAAAGTGTGTGCACATATATGCGAGGGTGCTAGTGTGCTCAAGGTGTGTTTTGGTGCAATTGTATACACTATTTACACTTACTACAATATGCTAGATAATATTTTGGCCATTTGTTTTTAGGTATTTCAAGGACAAATTTACCCATACTTTGCAGTTTGCACATATTGAATTAAATCAATAAAGGACAAATATTGTATTGTAAAATGATATTTTGGCTCTAAATTTTTCAGTTTGACGATTATTTCCTAATTATAGTCCTCGTGGCCACAATAAATCATCAGCCTTGGGGGTCCTTACTGTGCAATTAGCGGATTGAATGGTGATGGAGAGAGAAAGGAATTGCCGTAACACATCACATGACAATGATGCTTGGTCTCGCTCAACCACCTTCTGACAGGCATTTGGATGGTGATGACTCTTATGGTCTCTAACTTCGAGTGGCCACAAGGGTCACACAAATTTTCACCGATTTATAACCGGAAAAAGATTATATAGCCTAACTCCACCACTTGATTAGGTGGTCTAATCTCCCAAAAGTAAATATTGTTTCCGATCTAGAATTTCGGGAGGACGAACTCGTATACCATGCTCCCGTGGGAGCAAACTATACTCTTACTCTGTCGGGCACGAAAGTCATCTAGAGAATTTTTTTTTCTTTCTAAATATTTGGGAACCATCTGAGAATCACTAGATGATCATTCTTACAACAAAAAGCTTCAATTTTAAGTTATGGAACCCTTAGCTCTCGTCATCAAAAAATTGAATAGTCTTTGTTCAATCTTGAGATTATATTTTTTTCAAGTGCATAAAGAGTGTGCTTAGGATTTATTTATTTATTTATTGAGGCTAGTGAAGTGGTTATATCCCTAAAACTTGGGGTCCTACCAATACTCTTATATTGGGTTTTACCTGGGGCAGTCAATGGACGATGTGCTCCCAATGAGCATGAAATCTTTTGGCTTGGAGAAACTTTAAAGTTCCAATGAAATCATCTTTTGTAGAATTTATATCCAATGTGACTAATGATGATAGGATAATTTTTAGATAAAGAAAATATACGGATTATTCGAAGGTTTCTTTCTTTTTCTTGAGTGTTTTTATTGGAATTTGGAGGCAACCATCAGCATACACATTACATCGCCATCATTTACTCAATCTACTAAATCTATTAGTTGGTTCTTTTCTTGATATATAATTTTCAAACTGCTTGGATCGTAGCTCAATATTGATCTTGTATAAACCTTTAGTTGCTAGAGTGAGTTGTTCCCATTATATAGTGCAGCTTTTAAGTTCCTCTCTTTGTAATAGGTCCGTTTATCATTTTGATTACACTCAAAATAACTACTATGACGAACCAATAATCTCACTCCACCAGTGGCCATGAATCAATCTGGTGAGGAGTAAACCATTAATATGGTCCATATAATTGACAGAGATTTTTTATTTTATATCAAACATTCATTCAAGAAAATAATGACATAAAAAACAATCAACATGTTCAATACCATGTAATAAAGATTACTTACTGCGATCCATAAATTCTCAATTAGTTATCAACTCATACAATTATTCCGGTATCCATGTTAATTATAGTAAGAGTGCAAATAAGGAAGCTACGATATGGACATTGGTCGAATTTCATGAGTTCGTCTCATTCTTAAATTAACACTTAATATTATCATTGATAACAAGAACAAAAAATATAAGCTAAAATGAATGGAAAATGATGCGGATGTTAAACCTACATGATTAGAGGGCCAAATGTTTGCAGTTGTGGAGCTTCAGATGACTGCTCCACGGATAGAAAAGGCTCTGGGATGTAGAGAAAGAGGAAAGAGAGAGCAATAGAGAAGAGAAATAACAGGAAGAAATGACAGATGGGGTTTTGGGGAATTCTAGAGAGGTGTCCGGTAATACGAAACATGAACAACAAAGAACTACACCATTCAACAAAGAAGTTAGCTGTCCGGTAATATGAACTCCAAACAGTTCTTTACGTTATGAAATTAGAATAGACCCACCTATCTAGTATTGTTATTGCCGGTCAGGAGTACTGGCTCTTTTTTTTTTTTTGGCGACATCACGGTGGCACAATCATGTGGACGTCAATGTTATTCTAGGGTTTTTCTAACAAATTATTGAGATGTTAGGTAGGCAATTGAATTGATGTTTAGGGAGGCAGGTGCCTTCCTAGGCCGCATTCCCACTATTTAAAACAAAGAAAGGACACATCCTCACTAACTACAATTTGAATTTTTAAAAGAATTGGTAGGATGTCATGGACCTTGTCATATGCCAAACAAGATAAAACTAAAGGGGCACGATGTTCTAATCCTACTCGTCCCACTTAAAAAAACGATAAAAAGAAGAGAGGTGAAAATTTCTTAGAAAAACACCACCATAACCATGTGTTTAGAGCACCTAACAACGGGCTAGGTTTGTTCTGCTAGACCACCTACTACATGCCTAAGTGCGACGTGAGTCAATGGGCGCAAGAGCCTGCTGACCGGTAAACATCCGTCCTAAAGTTGGATGTTGTGCAACATAAGTAATGTATGGATAATGTATCAAAAAATATCAGAAAAATATTTTTTATTTTAAATTTTTTTTTTTCTTTCCATATTCTTCTTGATCACATTGGCTTATATGATGAATCTATAAAATATTTACTAAATAAATCCATCTTTAAAATGGTTTTTACGAGGGGGTCACATGTGAGTCGACTGACTCGTTGAAACCTGATCTAACAAATAAAATGTAAATATATAAAAAAGGTCGTAACCCCGAAAAAGGTGGGTTGGAAATAATTCTAACTTTTTGGCTTATGCACAAAATGCAAATATATCTACCGATGAATATTATAGTTTCTAAGCATTATTTCAAGGAATGTACACAGGGAGAAACGAAGAAAGGCCTTGGAAAGGGACACCGTTTGAAAATGGATTAATGGACATTCATTAGCTTTGTTGGCTATTTTATTCATAAAGCCATGTCAGTTAATATCGAAACCTACTCTTTGGCTATTTTATTCATTAAGTCAAGTCAATTAATATTGAAACCTACTCTTCCACTGTTTTTAAAATATAGGTTATACCTGAGGGAGTGACTATTTTAGTGGTAATATTAAAGAGAAAACTGGGGAAGTTGCACTGTTTAATTGTTCGCATGGACATTTTTATGTTCCATTTGACTTGGCATTCATTAAGTAAACTATAGAAGTTCAGTAGAATGATCAAACCAAACTCCTCTATACTTAATTTTGTAGTCCCGAGGAACAAGCACTCTAATACTTGCGTATCGTATTTCAAAATATGTGGTCACAAGGGCCATCGCCGTTCATCCAACAAGTCGAACAATAAAATTATGAGTGCATGTTGTGTATTCCCGTAGGAGCATACTATAGACCTACTCCCTTGGGTAAGAGAGCTACGTATGGACGTTTTTCTTCTTTTTTCTTTCTTTCTTTTTATTTTAATTTTTTTTTGAGGTTATTCATTAGGTTGAGTAGGTTACATTTCTAAAATTTGGGATGCAGATAGAGTTTTACTTGAGGGACTGATGAATGATACGGTGCCACATAAGCCTGTAATCTTCCGGCTAGAATTTTTTAGAAAATTTTAAGACATGAATGCAATATTTGTGACAAATCGTGTCAATTATAGATAGAGGCAAGGCTTGTTATTGAACGCACAAGGATCATAAAAAATTGATTTTGAGTTTTAGAAATAGTGCATCCTGCAATACATTATCTATATCGTCTATTTTCAAGATTTTCATTTGTTTATAGATCTACTTGATTTTAACCATTTATGAATTTTAAAATTTTATAATTCGATATAAAAATAGATTTTGAGATAATCCTAAGAACTTTATTCACCAAAATTTTATGCTATAATAAAATTTGGAGGTGCACCTTAATTGGATTGTTTAAGGTACTTGCAACCTTATAGAAACCACACCCATTTTAAAATTGGTATTTCTATAAAGTAATTTATCACTGTACTTCAAAAAATTTAGACACTTATAAACCCTTGTTTTGTACATGGAGTTTTTTCTAGTTAGGGTAATTTTGGTCATTAAGTCAGATGTAACATCACCTACATAAGATGTGATATCACTCATATGAAGTATTAAATGCTACTAGTATACTCCATGTGGGTGATGTCACACTCCATGTAGATGATGTCATATCCCTCCTAATGACAAAAAATACCCTTAGTAAAAAAATGCTTTATGTTAAAAACAATGGTACATAAGTATCTCAAATTTATTGAGTACACCCTAACATAACCTAACACGAATAACAAGGGTATATAAGTGTCCAAAATTTATTGAGTACAATTACTCTATAGTGTGAACACTATAATATAATCCAATACGAACTGATAATGTTTCGTGGACGTATGGCCTGTGGGATGCACCGGATGGCATCATAGGAAACTTCTATAATAAAAATATGTAGAGTACTTTTCTTTGGGTGAATAAAAAAGTGTTAAGTCATGAAGGATTTGTACGCCTACCATTTAGTGATATTACATGCATAGTGTTGGAAAGATGTATTCTTGGTATATGTGCTTCTATAAAAAAAAAAAAGGCTTAATATTCAACTCTTTTCCATTCTCATTAAATTAAAGGGTAGGGGCCCAAAATCCCCAATTGTCCTTCTTTTCTATATCTTTTTTTTTTTTTCTTTTAACTTATTCAAAAAAAAAACCATACCCATGTCTCCATCACATGTATTTTTCTGTCGTAGTGGGACCTCATAGTTTTTAAAGCCCTTAAGGCAATCCGCATTCTCAAGGTGTCTTTCTCGCTTGTTTGTGTTAGGCCTTAGCATCATCCTCAATGGCCCAGCAGCACTCTGCATCTCATGGCTTCGACTGTGATGAGAATGTTGTTATCTATGATGATTCTAGCTGTGACGCTCAGTTTCAAACACCCTTTCCGGCCCCAACACCCTTGGGTATACCAGAAGTGATCACAGTAGAGCATGGTGCTGTGGCGGCAGATCATGACGTTTGTTCGAGAGTTGGTAGCGATATTCTTCAGAAAGGGGGCCACGCAGTTGATGCAGCAGTGGCCACAGCCTTATGCCTTGGTGTTTTTAGCCCAGCATCGAGTGGCATAGGTGGGGGAGCCTTCATGTTGGTTAGATCTGCTGCATATGATTATGTAGATTGCTATGACATGCGAGAAACTGCTCCCGGAGCGGCAACAAGGGTAAAAGAATGAATATATTTACTTTTTTATTATTTAGCAAAAATAAAGGAAATTGTTTTACTCTAATTTTCAGCTGATTCTTGGCTTTCATGGCCTTGTCAGAATCCGTGAAAAATGATAAAAAAAAGTACTGCACCACATAAGGAGAATCGGACTCAGCCGAATACCATGTTCTGATTTTATATACATTTTATATAGGTCAAGCTTTCTATGTTCTCCCTACAACGTAGAAGTTTTATCCTCTCCTTATCCAACCCTCCATTTTTTAATGTAGGCCTAAGATTGCCCCAATCACAATGTCATGTCTCTGCACTCTTTTATTTTTAATTTTTTTTCTATAAACTGTTTTGACACCAAATTTTGGGACGTCCATTTCTCTATTAAACTTGCACTAATGAAAAATATAATTTTTTTCAATAAAATAAAATATCCAAAATACCCCTGAAAATTTTAAGGGGTATTTTGGTTATTATTTTTTATCAAAAAATTATTGTTAATAATTTTTATAGGTGCACCCCAATGAGAAGATGGCACGTACCAAATTTCATATTAAAAAAAATTAAAAAACTAAAAATAAAATACTTTGAGACCTCGGATCTAAGATCAAACAGTGAGTGGCTCTCTTGATAAAAAATGGATCTGGATGGTCAGGGGCAGACAGAACTTCTATGTTGTAGGGGGAACATACAAAGCTTTCCCTTTTATTGCAACCTCATATAATTTTTTCCCTTTATGGGTGCGGTTTCTATAAGGATGTAAACTTAAACAATCCAATTAAGGCGAAAAAATTCTTAGTATTATTTTAAAATCTATGTTCACACCTAATTAGAAAGTTTTAAATTTTAAAAATGTTTAAAATCAAGTAGATCTATAAATATATGAAAATCTTGATAATTGACGATCTAGATATTGTATTGCAAGATGCACTATATTAGAGGCTCACAAACTTTTTTTTTTCATATTCATACATCTCAATATCGAGATGATCGATTAGATAGTTTATTCAATATTAAAACAACATTTCCGATTTATTTTTGAGGTACATATGTGATTCTACATTTTAAAGTTGCAACCTTATATAAACTTTTCCCTTTATATATTCCTTTTTATAAGCGTGCGTGGTGCAGTGGGCCTTTTAGCTATTATTTACGTCACTTGCATTCTTATGTCTAGGGTTTATTAGAAATATACATGTTTGACCATTGGTATGGCCCTATTGCAGAGGTCCCATACCATTTGCCGAGCACACTAATGAAGCATTTGTGAAAGGACCTGGTTTCTATGCTGTCAAGCCTGCATATGTAGGAATGCAGGCTGCCGAATAAAACTATTTTTAAGATTGGTTTCAGGACTTAATTTGTAAGTACATGTAATATGTAGCATGGAGACCGTTAGTTTCTATTGTTTTTAGATGGAACTTCTACTTGCATCCATCTTTAAAATGGATGCTTCACACTTTCTAGACCACATATGTAAACATGCGGTCCAGCCTGCATGAAACAATTTCCCTTTGTTGAAAAGCATAAGTATCTTATTCTTTCTATACACTATTTTATTATTATTATTATTATTATTATTATTATTATTATTATTATTATTATTATTATTGCTATTATTATTACAACTTTTATTATTATTATTATTATTATTATTATTATTATTTAACAGGACATGAACTTGGCTTAGTTACTCGGACTCAGCCGAATAACTCTCCTCAGTGAAAGTTCGAGTACCTAGGCCGAGTAACATTGTTCTTGTGTATTACATTGGCAAGAAAGAAGAGGCCGTATTTTTTTGAACTAAATTAGATATGAATTTAATATGAAGATCTATATTTCCTCAATCCCTCGACTAAGTATCCAAACATTAAAGGAACCTCCATGAAGTTCTTTTTAAATACATTAAATGATTTTGATGAATTTTTTTTTTTTCGTTGCATTATTATTATTAGCTTTTATAATGTTATGTTTTTATTCTCGGAGGGCCGAGCCCATCAATTGCTCCTCCCTCATCCCTATTACTTGTGGCATGAGAATGCAATATTTTCAAGGGAAAATTATGGAATATGGAATATCCATGTAGAACACTCGCCCCAAGTTCTCGTTGAGAAGTCTCCTACACTCAATTATCCAAAAAAAGAAAAAACTTTTTTTTCTTCACTCTTGAGAGAGAGAAATAGAGAGGGAGCAAAGTGAGACAGAAATTTCACATTAATTATCTAATTTTATTTAAAAAGGGAATTTCCATCCTAAATTATACTAAAAGTGCCTTGGCGGTGAAAAAAAAGGGTAAATTTTTTCTTTTAAAAAAAAAATAATAAAAAAAAACAACCCTATTTGTTTAAAAAAACATTTTATAACAAATACCCCCGAGTCAAAATGTCATAGTTCTTTGGACCAAAATGCTCTCGGCATGGTAGTTGAATTCCATAGGTCTGGCACTTGTAAATGCGATCTGGCATATTGTAGCTACGGTCCGACAGTTATGATGCCTCGTTCTGACCCTTGTAAATGTGGTCCAGTTGATTATTGCGGTGGTCTGGCGGTTTTGTCGGTTTGGCACTATAATGCCTGGTCTCGACATAATTTGCATGCAATCCAGCAGTGATTGTGTTATGGGCTCCCATGCAGCAATAATATGTGTCGTACCGTCTTTGGTGATTTTGGCACCGTCATGTACGGTCAAAGGTGTTTTCATCTTCCAAATTATGATTTTTTTACTTGAGAAAAGGTAGTTTGGGGGTAAAAGTAGGGATAAAAAAATTGGTTGGGGAAGGCCGTAAAGAAAGATTAGTCAAGGGGATTTTTGTAATTTAAAAAAAAAAACAAAAAGATTTTCGGGGTAAAAGTGTCGGAGACTTCTGCATGGGGGATATTTTAAGAGAATGTTACATCTAAGGTAAATGTTACATCTAATAAGGCAATTCGATAGTTTTCCCTAATTTCAATTTATTTGTGACTTTACTAAAGAAATACCAAAATAGACATATTCCGTTTGTTTTTTTTTGTACAAACAAATTCTCAAATGCCATACTAATGTAAAAAATTACATGTACAGGATATGTATGAGCATAATCCCGCAGGAAAATTCCAAGGTGGACTATCAGTAGCAGTTCCAGGGGAATTAAAAGGTCTCTATGAGGCTTGGGAGAAACATGGGAAGCGTCCTTGGAAGGAACTAGTGCAACCTGCAATTGATCTAGCAGAGAAGGATTTCGGGTGTCTCCTTTTCTAGCATATGAAATGGAACAATCAGAGGATGGAATATCCAAAGATCCCGGTTTACGTGAGAAGTTCATGAAAGATGGAAAGCTATTGCAGCCTGGAGACCTGTGTCGCGACCCTCAACTTGCGAGCACGTTGCAGAAAATTGCAGATGAAGGGCCCTCGGTGTTTTACAACGGTCGCGTGGGGGCCGATTTGGTTGATGATATCCAAGACAAAGGAGGGATAATCACATTGGAAGACTTGCAAGGTTATACCGTTCAACGCAGAACGCCAATTTCCAAAAAGGTCATGGGGCACGAGATAATTACGATGCCGCCTCCTTCATCTGGAGGTGTTGGGGCGCTACTCGTGCGTATTTTCTTCTGAATTTACCATATCTCTCACTCTCTCTCAGACACACACAAACACTTTTCGTTGGTGATTGACTACCTGAAAGATCGATTTTCTATTGTAGGTTTTGAATATACTTGCTCAATATGGTGAGCTTTCTGGACCCCTTGGACTCCACCGTATGGTTGAAGCAATGAAGGAGATGTTTGCAATGAGAATGGGACTAGGTGACCCAGACTTTGAAGATGTTGAACCTGTTGTAGATGCAATGCTCGCTGACATAGTAGCAAGATATTTGAAGAACACAATAGATGATAACACAGCTCATGATCCTTTCTTTCCCATTAAAAGGTACTCATATATATTCTTAAGGGGAGGTATATAATGAGATCATTTACTTTTAATTTAATACAAGGTGGTCACAATGAATCTTGACAATTGGATATGAAATTTGGTGGCTGTATTTATTTTATTGTCCAAGATTAAAGTCCAAAATAATTTTTTTCAAACTTTGTAACACACCCAAGCTTATGAGATATCACATCGAATGGTTGTAAGTAATTGTAACTTCCTTGTACCAAAAGGTAGATGGTCTCATTGTATACAATCCCGATTCTTAATGCTTCTTATCCAAATAGCTAGCAACACTAAAGCGATACTGCTCATTTGACATAAAATGTTTCCTTGCCCAATCGTTGTCAAATATTTTTGGGTAGGGAGATTTCTACTTTTTATTTTATTGTTATGTTGACCACATTGGTACAATATGTGGTCCAGAGGTATAAAGCATCCATCTAAAAGATGGATGCAAATCGGTAGTCTATCTAAAAACATGCATTACTAACCGTCCAAATGTTTTCTCAATAAAATTATTATTTCTAGTTTTCAATTATTTTTTTTTTGCATATTCATGATCTCAATGTTAAATATTATATATTATCTAAAAATTAGGATTAAATTATATTTAAAAATATATATTTATTGCCAAGCCCACATTTCCACAATATGCAGGCTGGGTGCATAGCAACAATGTCCTTTTTTTTTATTGCTTACTATTTTTATTTATTTATTATTCTTTTAGGGTGTAGTATGTGAAGTTATACGTATCTCTTTTTTGTGTGAGTCAATGGCGATATCGGGCCCCTACCTGTTTATTAAAAAAGCAAAAGAAGTTTTACATAAACTAGTCTTGAAGGGAATAGTAGCAATATCATATGAAATATAAGGCATTACAAAATCAGAGGGGGCGAGCGCGCCACACAGTTGCTTCATTCATAAAGACCGCTACCTTGGCCAAAGATATACTTATCTTTATGTCAATGGAACTGACTATATGAAACAAGGGTTTGCATTAGGATGAACAAGGTGGATTTGTTTCAGCATAAAGGATCATAACACAACATTATAGATTCTCATTTCTATTTAGCACCAAAATGATAATGATCTAGAAAGATAAGATCTTGGAAGGATTAACCCTTATGGTTGTGGAGAACTTTACTCAAATATTGTCCTCTAAATCTCTTCATGCACGTCAGTGTGCAACACCTTTTAGTGGCTAAACGAACACTTATCTCTTGCTCAACCACATCGTGAGGATTTCATTACAAAACCATTGAGCTCTCTCTCTCTCACACACAATTTTTTAAACTTTAAACTTCCACATTCAAAACACCATCTTTTTCCCGCAGGTGGAGGATACTCAGTGACCATGGCACCAGTCACTTGTACGTTGTTGATGATGAGAGGAATGCAGTTTCTATGACTACTTCTATTAATGGCTTATTTGGAGCATTGTTTCGGTCTCCTAGTACAGGGATAATTCTCAACAGTCAGATGGATGATTTCAACATCCCTACAGACATGATAGATACCACTAAACCTTTAGCATGTGCAAACTACATCAAGCCATACAAAAGGCCCTTATCCTCCATGATGCCCACCATATTCCTCAAGGTCCTCTCTCTCGCTCATCATCATCATTTTAGCTTGTTTTCCATTAATTAGGGTTGGCTACATGAACTCCTGATTCTCCATTCGGCTCTATTAAAGGCCATATTTCTCTCTCTCATATGAGAAAATACCTTCTTACTACGTATCCCATTTATGTTAAATAGGACGGATTACTACTTGAGGGTGTGATTGGTGGAAGTGGAGGACCAAGGATAATTCCTACAACTATGCAGGTCCTTTTGAACTATTTTGTTCATGGCATGGAACCATATTTTTCTGTTTTTTCACATCGACTCTACCATCTGGTATATTTCTACTCGCCTTCTCCTTTTTCATTCATTCATGTTTTACTTTATGTTTTGGAGTAATTGAGATTTGCTTTATGAGTGTGGAAGATCATAGCCAAGGTGCCCCATGAGATAACAAAAGTTGAAAATTCGTTTCTCAGAATATCATTAACATCATCATTAGAGCCTTAATCTAACTATTTAATTTGTTAAAATATGATTTACCAAAAATAAGAAATCAGAGAGAGAGAGAGAG